AGTCAGAGCGGTTCAGGTTGTCTGAATTTGGGGAGTTCTGCGGGCTGCACTGGAAGAGGTCTGTTAAGATGTTCTTGCGTCCACTAGAATAGTCCCTCTGTTAGGGGAAGAGGATGCTGCGGTGTGGCTTTTCCAGAGGACTTCGATGGTGCCCCTGACTGCTCTTGTCCCCTGTCCTGATGGGGAGGAGGTGCTGACAGCCAGAGGCAGGAGTGTCCAGGGCCACTGGGACACGTAGGTCAGGTCACTGCTAACCAGGAAAGCCAGGAAGTTCACCAGGGGATCAGAAGGAAGACGGTGTGGCAATCCAAGATATTCAGGAGCTGGAGATGGTGGATCCACAACTCTCTCAGTACCTTTACAGAGAAAATAGTCTGAAGCGAGTGAAAACTCTGGCTGCCAGAGCACTGAGGAGCCCCCTCAGGTCAAATTACAACTCAGAAACAGCGGTCAGTAGGAAGCCCCTGATGCTGCGGTTGAGTGACAAGTACACCAACGGTCAGGCAATGGTGCAGGCAACGAGTGAGGCCGGCGGGTGCCGGAGATCGCGGCGCGGGGCACGTGTCAGGCACCGAGCAGCCGTGGGAGCTCCGCGCGCTGCTCCAGGATATGGCACAGAGACAGGGTCGCTAGGAGCCTAGAAGATGCCCAGAATTACCTTGCTGACAGCGTTGCCGCGGGCGATGAGCATTTACCAGGGCAGGCACAGCACCGCCACCTGGCGCCTGCTCGTGTCACCGCTGCTTCCACCAGTCGCCATTCAACCTCAGCAGCCACCGCCCCCTTTCCAGGCCCGTTCGATATTGATTTTTTTCCACCCACAGTGACGTGAACTGTATGAGAGCAAGGTTTGAGAGCTTTACAGTGGTGTCTTAATCCTTTTCTGTGATTCACGTCTACAGCAGACTTCTAGAAAGCATGGAGTCACATCTGTGGCCTCTTTTCAAGGGTATGCACCTCGGCCTTGATATTTTCCTGATTCTCCTGTTCTTCGTATTTATCAGAACTTCCAGTTTCAAGTTCAAAAGCCCAAGAAGTTATGAGCATGCTTAAGAAACCAAGCAATGGATGGGAAGTTGGGGCTCAGGAATGATTTGTAATCAGTTTTAAAATCCTTGTGGATTGTTTTCTTTTTTTTTTTTTTGGTATAAAAAATATCTGGTTTATTTTTAGATAATATATTTCTGTTTTTTAATTGTAGTTCAGTTACAGTTGTCCCCACATTTCCCCCATTTGCTCTCCCCTGCCCTATCCAATCCCTGCTCCCAAAGATATTCCCCACCCCATTGTCCTTGTCCATGGGTCCTTTGTATCTATTCCTTCACTTGATGCTTTGCCTTCTTTCCCGTTGTCCCCATTCCCCCTCTCCCCTGGTTCCTGTCAGTTTTTTCTTTATTTTTGCATCTCTTGTTCTCTTTTGCTCTTTTGTTTGTTTTGTTGATTAGGTTCCACTTACAGGTGAGATCATATGGTATTTGTCTTTTCACTGCCTGGCTTATTTCACTTAGCATAATGCTCTCCAGTTCTGTCCATGCTGTTTTCATCTTTTTATGCTTCATTAAGTTGGTTCTTTCAACTTAGTGTTTTCCATATGACAGAAGAGTCTAACTGTAGAGAGCTCTCATGCTGAGACTGGCTCTTTGTGTTTCAAAATTTTTAAATCTCAGTCTCTAAGTCAGTAACACAGTTGGGACAAAGTACTTTCCTTCTGCCAATCACTGGGTGGCTGGGGAGGTAGAGTTGGTAAGATGGTAGCAGCTCCATTGTGAATACAAGTGAACAGGAGTGTCTTCCCCCAAAGAAAGGAAGTAGGAGGCCTCCTTTCTGTTAATCATATCCATCACTGCAAAATGCTTTGGGGAAGAGGAAAAGAGAAGCTTCTATCTTTGAAAAAATCTACACCATGCCAAGTACTCTGTGAGGTACTTTATATAAGTCATTTCAAATTCCCCCAATATTCCTGTGACATAGAAAACATCATCTCACAGTTCTCAGTGAAAAACAGACTCACAAATGTTTAGTAACCATCACAGGAGTCTAGGACTTTTAATGTTTTCCTTTTACTATTTGCACTCTTTCTTTTGTTTACAAAACTGAAAGAAATATAAAATAATTTTTACTGTACTCTGCAATAAGCATATGCTGAAGCTAATGAAAAATAACCAATAGAGACTGACACAACTGGCTATAGTATTAATTTTTCTTTTTCAAGGAGAAGTATGTCTTTTTTACAGCTCCTGTAAACAAGTCAGAGAGGTTAGCCTTTCTGGAGATAGGATTATACATATATATATAATATATTATAAATACATTATATTACATATAATACATTTATATTATAGACAGTATATTATAATATATTATAAATATATAAAAATATATAAACATACATACATATATAAAAGTAAAACCATATATATTTATATATGTTTATACATGTATTTATATATAAAATATATACATATATACACATATTTATATTTATGTGTATTTATATACACATAAAGCATATTTATATGTTTATACACACATATATGTATATATATAAAAATTTTCCCACCCACCCTGGAATCTTAGCATACCAAAACACCAACTATACTACATTGTAATTACTGAAGACAGGTCAGGTGAAAATAAGGGTAAAATTTTATGGCTAAAAATATTCATAGCAGCAACTTTTAAAAGATCATTTTATTAGCCATGGCTGATGAGGCTCAGTGGATTGAGCGCTGGCCTGCAAACCAAAGGGTCTCTGGCACATTCCTGGGTTGTGGGCCAGGTCCCCAGTGGGGGGTGCATGAGAGGCAACCACACATTAATGTCTCTTTTCCTCTCTTTCTCCCTCCCTCCCCCTCTGTCAAAAAATAAATTAATTAAAAATCTTTAAAAAAAGAAAAGAAAATATTAAAAAACTCAAAGAAAACAGATAATTTTATTGAATCAAATCTTCGAACCTGGTCATTTTATTGCTATAGCAAAACAAGGCCATTAAGTTTGTAACCCTTCTGGTTTTAACTGATTGTCTCATTCTGCTCATACATTTGAAGTTAAAATGCAAGCAAAAAAAAATTGTTTAGTGACAAATCTAGAGAGCACTGAGTTTTTTGTTTTTTTTCCAGTGATCACAGTAAGAACCATATTTTTTAAAAAATCACCTGCTACGCCTGGTCCACTTTCTCTTCCTATCTTCAGCCTTAAATTTTCTAAAGATGTTTCAGAATTAAATTTTGTAAAGAAGATTTGTGGTGACACACCCCCACACACACCACTGCTAATACCAAAACATGATTAGGACAATTAGTAATGTTCTTTGTTTCAAAAATAACAAAGCTGAACAATATATTCACAAATAATTTAGCAATGACAGATTCTGTGTTATTCACCTCTGGTCTGTCATTTATGCTTACTCATAACAAATAATAATGATTTAACTCTCAAGTAAAGTTATTATTACACACCAATTTGTGTTAAAAACTTTATGAACAGGAATTCATAAAATTCCCATATTAAGAACAAATATTGTTAAAGTGCTAGATTAAAGTAATCAGCTTCCCCTTTGAATATGAGTTTGTTTGGTTTTCTTTACTTTTTGGTCAAAGGCAGAAAAATTGAGACAGTACTTTAATTACTTTTCTATCCTGGCTGAAAAAGTTTATAGGCAAATACTTTAAATGAATTTCTGGACTCATGGCCGTCTTAATTTTATGTGCTACTAAGAAAATGACCCACAGAAGCTTTAAGAACAGCCTGAAATCTGCTGGAAACTTTCTCCACCCCATTATTAGGGGGAGGAGGAGTCGCTTAATAGATTTTGCCTGACAGAAGGCTGGAGGATGATTATTAGGAAACACGTTTTTATTTCTACTTCACAACTTTCATTAAAAGATAATACTATGGATTCTTAATAAAATGGATTTTAACCTACAATGAAAGGAGAGCCAAAGACTAATGCTTTAATTTAAAATAATATTTAATCCATTGGAATTTTATACAAAATAGACTTTAGTCAGACAGCATATGAGTTGTTTTTGCAAATAGTATACATACAAAAGAAATTAAGCATAAGAATATTTAAGCAAAGATAATATTACTAACTTGACCATATTTAAAATCAAGAAAGTACTACCCAAAACAATCATATTAATGCTTTACATACATACATTTTTATATACCTCTCTTTGAACCTGTACTATATACAAGTACAGTGATCAATACATTGTATGTATTGATGTATGTGCATGTATGTGCATATTTCTCTGGAAATTTGAGGAAGAGAGTCAGAGAGAACTAATTAGGTTGGCATGTAAATCCCAACTCAGAAAGTAAAGTAGATGGAGTTTCCTTCCAGTCTTTTTTTTTTAAGTACAAGTATGATACTTTATTGTTTTTATTTTATTTTCTATGAAGGTTAAATTTTATTCATTTTAAATGATTGTCTTTTTTTCAAATTTATGTCCTTCCCATTTTTGTGATGTTAGACATAATCTTTTTCAAGGTGAAATAATAACAGTTAGTAGTTTTTTTTTTTCATGTCCTTTCTTGATGAGATAAAAACATTGACAACTAAGGCTAGTCTCTCTATACATAACTCATATAGATTCTTGTAAACATCATTGTTTCATTGGCTTTAGTTTTATAATTTTTGGAACTGAAGACACAGTAACTGCATTTAAGGAACTGATATGATTAGAAAGTGTTGATTCTATGTAAATCTACCTCCATGGGGAAAAATTACATGAATATACATTAAATGTTCACCCTGTACCTACCCACTGGTCAAGATGAGTTTTGACCATCTATTTTATGAGTCATATTCTCTCAACTAAACAATCAGTAAATATCAAGAGACAGCACCAGATTATGTTAAGACCTTTTTACACTGAACATTTGAGGCTCAGGATCTTCCATTCTGGTCCATATGCTCATTGGCTGCTATTTGTTTATTTAAACTTGATTCTCTTATAGGTAAAGGTGAAGGAAGCTGAGGCAGAGGAATTGTATTAGAGTTCAGGTTCCAACTGGTTCTGGCCGCCATGTTCATGAAAATAATTGTCATGTTCTCTCCACCTAGGCACCTTGAAAGAAAACAAGATTAGTGTACTTTATAGATTCTTTTACTGGATTGGTCAGAGATTTTATTGAAACAAAGGCATTTTCCATAACTATTATTAATGCATAGAAAGAATAAGGTATAAAAATTAAGTTGGGGAAAAAAGAAAAGAACAAAAATATTTATTTCACTCACCTTGACTACATTCCTTTTTCCCAAGGAGTCCTCCCTGAAAATCCCATTGAACACACCCAAGCATCTCTCACTCATGTTTTGCAGGAAATAATTTGGGAGAAAATGTCAATGGAGTAAAGAGGTAGAAACCAGAGGATAGAAAGAGGCTCATGGTTTGTGATTCACAGAACTTTTTGTTGTGGACTCACTGAGTTTCTTCCACCTTCCATGTTCAACTAGTTTTTGCCCACTTTTCTATATTGTATAAAATTTCATGCCTAGGATCCCTGTTAGTTTTATGAGTAGATTTTTTAATAACTCTCAGAGAAGTGAAAGGGCACTTCTCAGCCTTTTCTTCATCTAATATTTACTTGGGAAAATACCATACCTTGTGGTTTTATCTGTGTGGACACATTGTCTTAATGTCTCTCTATAAATAGGAATTTCATCCAATTTCATCACATAAATGCACACACACATCTAGGCTTGAGGTGAGAGAAACTTTCACTAGTGGGATCATCATTTAAATCCTTATTTAGAACATTGCACAGTACCTCCCAAAAGACAGAATCATCATAGCAGTTCTGGTCAGATGGCTGTCCCCAGATAGGAAGTTTTAGAATTAAACCTGTGTAGGTGAGGAGAAAATAAGTCATGTTGTGATGCTGGAAAAGAAAACTTACTTGCATAAGTAATTAAATAAATACTTTCTTTTTAAAAAATACTTTCAATTAAAGTAATTAATGTTATAAAATCATCCCCTTGAGCCTACATGATTATTGTCAGAATTTAGCACATTTTCAAATTTACCAATCAATGTTTATGAATAATCTGTTATGCTGAGAGCATGTGGTACAGGGAAGTGTTCATTTTTATGCTGACCTGTGATCAGCCCTCCAACGGCTGCTGTTCCAATGGAAGAACCTAGAGCGGCTGCTTGCATGGCAGGGTTAGGATTCCTAGGAAGCCGAAAAGAAAGAATCATGCTTTTGCAGCAAGCAAATCTCATCTCCTGAAGGCGTGCCTTCCATCTTCAGGCCAGAGTGCAGCATTATACATCAGCAAACTTTTGTTACACCTTTTCTTTTTTATCATATATTTATTTTCTTTGAAACGCTTAATGTAAAAAAATTCTTATAAGCACTTAAACTCAAACTACCCTTTTCTTCAGAATGATGGAAAGATCTTCCTTAAAAAGTGCTTGGTATTTTCTAAAAATGTGGTGCCAGGTTTGATACATGATCTGATTCATTCAACAAATATTTATTGAGCGCTCATCCATGCCAGTTTCTCTTCTAGGCTCCGTGGATAGAGTAATATGCAAAACAAAAATGAGTTTTTCTCTCTCTTCATCCCATCCCAAAAGGAACTATAGTAAAATTCAGAAGTCAGTAAGGTCAGAAAAGCTCATTTTAGCATATATTGTAGAGACAACTCATTGAAAATACTAAAGTATATTGCTATATGTAATCTTAGAAATAGTTACTTTAAAATGAAATGAGTAAAAAAACCCTCAATTTTGGGAATGGAAGAATGTAATAATAAGCTATTGAAACACATAAGGATGTTACATGAGTGAAAAATGCACTAGAAATGTAAGAGTTCCTCACTCTTAGCAGACAATAAACAGCTGTTGAAAGATTGAAGAGATGATTACAGAAAAGGAAACAACTGGAAAAATGAGTATGTTGATGTTTCATCCTCATCATTAAAGGGAAAGAATGCACAAAATTCAAATTTTTTCTCTTTATATAAAAGATTTAAAATTTTTCTGTTACATAAAAAATTATAGAAGTAACACATGATCATTGGACAAATTTTAGAAACCACTAATTTAAAAAATGAAAGGAAAACATTTAATTTCCCTCAAATCCTATCAGTATAAAATGTAAAATATAAAGCAAGTACTTTTATAACAATGAATCATGTTATAGTACTAATTTTTAATGTCTTTTTATGTCAATAAATGTAGATCTGGGTCATAATTTTAGTTGCTACAGAGTATTACACTATATAAATGTACTGTAATTATCCAACTACAAGTTAGACATTTAGGTGCTTCCAATGTGTTATTTTCTTAAAAATGATGTGTGAATACATCCTCTTATAAACATTGTGGACTTGTCCAATAATTTCTCTAAAATGTAATCTATCTAGAAATGAGATTATTCATTAAAGGTAACAAACCACTAAAGGCTATTCCAAATTGAAAATATACAATCTCTATCCCCATTTCTCTACTTTAGTGACCATTTGATATTACTATTATTTTAATCGTTATCAATATAATAACTGAAGCACTGGTAATTTTTATTTGCATTTCTTTGATTACTAGTGAAGTTTACTATTTAATATACACATATTTGGTCTTCTTCTGCTGTAAACTTACTGTTAATTTTACCAGAATTTGCCAAGATCTTTAACAAGGTATTAAAACATATTTTTAATTAAAAGTGTTCCATGATGAAATAGGCTTGAAAAAACACTTGTTTAAACAAAATTAAAAACACTATTAAAGTTAGGCTGCATTATTTGCACGTGCATGCACACACACACACAGGTAAATCTCTGTAAGAATATTAACTTTTCATTGTCCTATGGTTACCAAGAAAACTGAATTATATGTTGGTATTCTCAATGGACACATGTGAGTTGATTGTCTTGGCTCTTGGATTAGGTGTTTTATGTGGTCCATGGAATGTGTGAATTTTACCCACTTGAATGGGCCTTCCACGACTTTCCTGCCACTGCAAATCCCACTGAATAAATTGAGAAGTTTTTATTGAACCTAGACCCAAGGACTAGACTCTCAACCATGAAACCTACCCCAAATCTGGCTGCCCAGTCAGGCCCAGCCTGCAAGCCAGATAGACTTGTTTTATTGCATCTGTGGAACTGGTCTAGGAAAGATGTGCAAGGATTCCACTATTCCTAATCATGAGGCACCCCTTAGTGTGTTTGCAGTGTTTATACACTAAAACACTTAGGAGCTAAGCTCATTGACACATGCTTTTATCACACTTGATTTGCATTAAAACACTAATGTTTGGTCTTAACATCCTGTTAGGTGCTGGAGAAAACTGAAAGAAAATGTGACTATTTGTGGAGCTGCCTTCCAAATTTGCAAAAGGAGTAAAAAAAAATTAAAAACTAATTAAAAAACTGATCAACCATATACACGAAAGAAGCAAACTTTCTGTTCAGTAGAAACTGTAATTAAGGAAGTTTCTCAAATATGTATCATTACTGGTCTCAATAGGGTTAAATTTCAATTGGCTAAAATAGAAAAGATTATTCTTTTCAACTTATGAAACTCAAGCTACAAACATTTTCAAACACATATTCACCTTTTATTCATTCTTTCAAATGGCTTTAGATATTGAGCATTTTGCTTCCTTCCTCACTTACTATGACCCTCCAACCTGTTTTGCATGGATGACACTCCTATTAAATTGCTTCAATCTTGTTGCCAAAAAGTGACAGCTGATGGTTTACGACATCACTTCCATTCTCCTGGATTTGATTGATAGCCATTCTTCCTCTGGCCACTTAAATAAACATTTATGCCCCTTTTGGGAAGAATCTAAGTCTGCTAGGGATTTTAAAGAATAAATAGCACAAGTCTCTCATTTTACAGAAGAGGAAACAGAACCAGAGAGGTTGAATGGCTTGTCAGGGGCCATATAGCTAGTTAGTAGTAAAGTTGGAGCCATATGCCAACCTTTCTGATTCTCCGGATCCAACTGCTTTCCATGTTATGGTAACTCATTCTTCTTTGTGTGAGTGGATGAAAATGACTGCTCAGCTCATCACATATGCCCTATGTGCCCCATTTTGTGGAGATCAAGAAAAGAGCAAGCCTACTGTAATCTGTGATTATCAAATTGTCCTATTTGCTAGGACACAGGTGCCTATAGTAGAAAAATTTAACACTGTTCATTTACACAAAAATAAATAATATTAGTTAAGATGCATCTTCCAATCAATTCTATTCTTTTCTTTAAGGACAATACTTATAAACTTTGGCCTGGACGCTAAAGAAAAAGACCTCTCATCACTGGATTCACAGTGTGAGAGAAAACATTATTGGATGGGCATGGGGGAGGCAGGAGAACCTGTTCTTTCACTCACGTGTCAGATGCTTCCATGGCCACTGCTACAATGCCTGCGAGGCCTCCTATCACACCGGGTAAGCCATGAAGGTTATGGACCCCACATGTGTCTTGGATCCTCAGTTTAGTAGCAAAAAGTGGCTAAAATTATAAAAAAAGAGGAAGATTTATTATTTTGTTAGACATATAGGACTCTACAATTGAAGTAAAACATCATTCAGGAAACATTTTATCTACAGTCCACTTCTCCATCCACATCTAAAACCACTTTAAGTATAAGAACCTCAATACATTGGTGGTGAAACTGTTCTTTTCAGTCTTTAGCAGATGATTTTGAAAGCAAGTGATTTCAAGTCCTACTCCTTAACTACTGATGATATCCTAAGTTCCCTTAAAAGGGCACAGAGTTTTCAATTACAAAAAGCAAACAAATATCAACAAAAACGTTAATGGAACTGCCCAGAGGAAAGGAACGTAGTACTTAACATTCAATCATACTAGGTTATAAATAACTGATATCAGACACTTTCCTGCTGCCCAAAAGAAGTCAGGAAAGAGCAGAAACATTGCACACTGAAATGTGATCATACTTTTGAAGACAAATGACTCCCAAACAAGGACAGGTGTTTATGAAAGGAATTTTCATAGCTTTCCTCTTCTGCTGGGATGTGAGAAGATGATGCTGCACTTTGAAGAGTGACTCAGCATCTGCCATACTTACAGTCAGAAACTTAAACCCAAGCACAGAGACCATGGCTGCAACGCTCCCAATGATCATCGCAATGAATGGGTGAATCGTCATGTCCGCACAAGTGCCCACGGCAACTCCTCCAGCAAGGGTTGCATTCTGAATGTGGACCTGTATGGAACACAGAAACAGAGTGAAATGTGCTGAACAGGCAGAGTTCAGAAGGACTGAAAGAATCCGGGATTAATGGACCCCATGGCACGTTCTTTATTTGAGAGGACTACTAATCCTTTTCAAAAAGGGTGTCCTTTTTAAATGTTGAAAGACTTTCTTCTGAGCAGTTGAGAGATGCTCTCTTTCTTGCCAAGATTTCTTGGTAGTATATGAGTGATTAGGTAGTGAGACCAGTGTGGGGAAGGATATGAGACAATAAAAGAACCTGTAGTGGAGGGGTGGGAGTGTGCAGATCAACGTTTCTGGCAGTGTTTTTCCTGTTGATGCTGTTTGGGAACGCATTTGTGGGAATATAGAGACGTTGAAATGCACACATTACACATGAAAGATGCCAGCTTGCACAAGTGTCACTATACTGAGAATATTTGAGGCTGGGAGAGAGTCACCAATTTGCGTTTACCAGAATTCCTCAGAAAAATCGTATTCTGGCTGTTCTGGCTGAGGAGGTAAAGCCATCAACACTTTTAAAAGAGAACCACTGAGTTGTACGCATGTTTTATTCCTTTTCATTTTTTAAAAAATTTTCCTTCATGAATCAATTTTTTAAGAGTTGAAATGTCCCTAGCTATGCCTGATAAAATGACAGTGTTCCTGTCCTCCCTCAGGTTAGGAGAAAAGAGTGGCTGCTCTGAGGACAACTCCTTCACTGTCATTTCTCTAGCTCATAGGCAGGAAACTCAAAGGACGAACTTGGGGGGTTTAAAAAATTGTTTTATTTTTGAATCACTTTAGACTATGTAAAAATGGCAAAAGTACCACAGAGAGTTTCCATAAGTCCTCCACCCAGTTTCCCCAATGGTAACATCTTACATAATCATAGCACTAGAAAATTAACATTGATATAATGCTCTTTAAGGTCTTATTAAAAGTTCACTAGTTTTCCCACTAATGTTCCTCTTCTTTTTTGGAATTTTTTAAAAAATATTTTATTTATTTATTTTCAGAGAGGGGAAGGGAGGTAAAGAAACATCAATGTGTGGTTGCCTCTTGAGCACCCCCTGCTGGGGACCTGGCCTGCAACCCAGGCATGTGCCCTGACTGGAAATTGAACCAGCAACACTTTTGTTCGCAGGCCAGTGCTCAGTCCACTAAGCCACACCATCCAGGGCTCTTTTTTGGAATTTTATTCAGAATCTCACATTACATTTAATTGTTATTTCTTTGAAAGGGATATTTATAGTTAGAAAGTAGAATTGACTTTCATCCTCCACACTTTTTTTCTACTCTTAACATGTCCTATTTCAGATTTTCTAAGAACTTGGAGACAGCTTTATTATTAAATAAAAATGTCTCATATCTTTGGCTTTTGCATGATTATATTCCCTTCTAGACAGTTTCTTGATAATACTTTTTAATTTTCCAGGGTACAAATTGGATGAAGAAGGGAATGGATATGTGATCTTCAAAATATTCCTCAAGGCCTGCAGTGTTGTGATTTGTTCTGGCAGCTCAGCAGGGATGCCGAAATGAGCTACCTGTCTGAGCAAACATTAGTGTTGTTTAGTGAAACTTCCATGGGGGTAAGGGAGTGCAGTTTGCCACCCCAAAATATGCTTTATTTTGGCATATTGATTATTTTAAGTTGGCTTATTTTAAGAAACAAAAGGCTCAGGAAGAACCTTTAACCTTCCCTCCAACTACCTAAAGAATTTAGATAGCAGATCTGTTGGGAAGAAAACGATGATCACAGATAACTACACTTTAATATATGAATGAGCCGTGACAGACAGGGAGAAACCTAGCAAGGCCCTTTTGATCAAAGTCCTTTCTGTGCCCCTGTTGCTAAGGATGTCCCAACAGACATTTGTTTACTAAACATTTGCTTCTCCATCTCCACGTGAATTGCTTTCTTCCCCTTTGAAGTCCAGACCACCACCCCCTGTTTCCCTTTAGTTCAAGATGACATATAAGCCTCAACTGCCCCACTCATCCTCAGGTCCCATATTTTTACAGATCCCTGAGTGTGCATACATAATAAAATCTAGTTATTTTCCCCTGTTATTATATCTCATGGCAATTTAATTCTTAGGTCAGCCAAAAGAACTAAGAGGGGAAAGAAGAAAAAGTTTCCCCTTCCCCACAAGGGTTACTATGGCACACGCACCATGTCCAGCTTGCCTCTGTGCTCCACGAGGCTGGAGAAGGCATAGGCTGTGAGTACGCAGGCAGCAAGGGAGAAGTATGTGTTGACGATGGCCATATACTGCTTGTTTCCGGCCTCAGCGATGGCCGAATTAAAGCTGGGCCAAAACATCCACAAGAATAGAGTTCCTGCAGTAAACCACAAAAATGGATATTAGTTTTTAATATGAAGGACAGTCCTGGAGAAACAGTTTGCCTTGGGTGCTGACAATGTCTCTACTTTTAGGCTTAGTTGTCTGACACTGGAAAAGCCAGCATAAACAAAAGTATTGGGTTGGCCAGAAAATTTATTCTTTTTTTCCTGTAAGACAGCTCTAGTAGTGCTTAGTTGTCTTTAACTTCATTCAAAACAATTTTGTTAGATTTTATTGTGTCAGCTGTCATACCGGAGTTCATTTAAAAAAATAAAAAATGGTGAATTTTTGTGTAGCCATTTTAATATTGAAGATGGAAGAAAATACAGAACATTGTTGGCATATTATGCTTTATTATTTCAAGAAAGGTAAAAATGTAACAAATGCAAAAACGGATTTGTGTGGTGTATGGAGAAGGTGCTGTGATTGATCGAACATGTCAAAAGTGGTTTGCAAAGTTTCATGCTGGAGATTTCTCACTGGACAATGCTCCATAATCAAGTAGACCAGAAGTTGATAGCAATCAATCAAATCAAGACATTAATTGAGAACAATCAATATTATACCATGCAGGAGATAGCTGACATACTTAAAATATCCCAATCAATCTTGAAAATTATTATTTGTACCAGTTTCATTATGTTAATCGCTTTGATGTTTGAGTTCCACATAAGTTAAGTGAAAAAAATTTCTTGACCATCTTTCCAACTGCTTAAATGTAGCAAAAACATTACTTTTTTTAAAAAACAAATAGTGACAGGTGATGAAAAGTGGATATTTTACAATAATGTGGAATAGAAGAGATTGTGAAGCAAGTGAAACGAACCACCACCAACCACACCAAAGGTCAGTCTTCATCCAAAGAAGATGATGTTGTGTATGTAGTGGGATTGGAAAGGAGTCCTCTATTACCAGCTCCTTCTGGAAAACCAAACAATTAATTCCAACAAGTATTGCTCCTAATTAGACCAACTGAAAGCAGCACTAGAAGAAAACCATCTGGAATTAGTCAACAGAAAACACAAAAACTTCCATCAGGATAATGCAAGACCACATATTTTTTTGGTGACCAGGCAAAAACTACTACAGCTTGGCTGGGAAATTCTGATTTATCTGCCATATTCAGCAGACATTGCACCTTTGGATTTCCATTTATTTTGATCTTTACAAAATTCTCTTAATGGAAAAAATTTTGATTCCCTGGAAAATTGCAAAAGGTACCAGGAATAGTTCTTTGCTCCAAAAGATGAACAGTTTTGGGAAGATGGAAATATGAAGTTGTCTGAAAGATGACAGAAGGTAGAGGAACAAAATGGTGAATATGTTGTTCAATAAAGTTATTGGTGAAAATGAAAAATGTCTTTTATTTTTACTTAAAAACTAAACAAACTTATTGGCCAACCCAGCAGTATTCAGAGGTTGTTCCTTGAAGATTGTGACTGCTGTGTTGGAGTTAACCTTCACTTGTGCCTGACCAAACAGACAAGAATCAGTTTTATCCCTACTCACCAATCATTGCAAACAAATCTGAGTGGTACACAGACTCCTCGTTGGCATGTCCCCTTCTCAGGCCTGGTCGATACAGGATGCCTGCTACAGCCAAGCCAAAGTAAGCCCCGAAGGCATGAATTGTCATTGATGCTCCAATGTCAGAGGCCTGATGGGGCAAAACATACATGTAAACCAGGTGAAACTGAATCTCAGTACAGGAAGAAAGTCAATGAAAGGACTGCTTTATTGGTTTAGCAATTAAAAAAAGTAGATCAGGAGAGAAAGAATGCGTCAGACAAAGGGGGATAAAACAAGATAGATACACAGAACTGATTTTTAATCTTAGGCCAGGTATTTCCTTGTGATGTGACTTTAGACAAATTACTATACTTCTCTGAACCTCAAGTTCTGTAAAATGGGAAAATGTTATCCAGCTAGCATAAATGAAACCATGTTTGTAAAGTGCTAGGTCCTTAGTGGGCACTCAATACATTTTGGATTGTGTCTCCAGGTTAGGGAGATTCTCTGTGAAATACTGTTCTTGTGCTTGATACAAAACAAAGATGATGTTTGCATTTACTTGACACTGCAGGCAAAGCTCACTTAATTGCAAATACGTGAAGCTTCAAAAAGCCTTTGTTTTTCCCGTATTTTATCACTCTGCTATATGATGACATGAAAATCAGCTTGAGGTCCAAGATTTATTTGAAGAAATGTATTTTAGGTCCCTCTTTGGGATGCAGTGTAGATTTGACACAATTATCTATACTTCTTGCCTCTAGAGGGAAAGTGTTCAGAGTGCGAAACCCAAGGCATTCCTCTGTCCTTATCAAGGTAGAAAAATTATACAGCTTTGTGAATTTATTTAAGATTTTCATACTCAATAAACTATGAACCTTTCAGGTCCAGCTTAACTGTCATTTCTTCAGAAAGTCCTACCTGGTTTTCATAGTCTAATTTCAATTACATTCTCTCATAACCCCCTCTACTTATTTTTTACAGTATATATTTTAATTTATAGTAATATTTGTGTGTGTGCACTCACATACATGCATATGCCTATGGGTGGGTGGGAAAATGTATGATTATTTGTTTGATGTCTGTCTCCTCCACTAGATTGTGAATTTTATAATGTTAGGGACCTTAACTATTTTGTTTGTCACTGAATCACCAACATATGACACCTAGAAAGTTTTCAGAATAATTGCTGTTTGATTAAATGTTCAATAGAAGCATACACAACATATTGGAGGGTGTCTAAGTATATTCTATTTATAATTCTTGGGGTACTCAATGAGATTTTCACAGTTAAAAAAAATTTGACTTAAGCTTTAACAAAAGCCTTGGGAAAGGCTATTCACCTACTAGTTGAAAAGAAAAAGCAATTGATCATTGATAAGAAGTATAATACAATAAAAAGAGCTTTGGAATTAGAAAAATCTGGTTTCAATTCAGATTCTAGCAAGTCATTTAGCATCTATAGTCATCGGAGTTTTTATTTATTTATTTATATGTTTATTTATTTAGGGAGGGTATAAATAGTAATAAAAATAACACCTAGCTTTCAAAATTATTGTGATGATGAAAAATGTTTATGAACCTCCTGGTTTACAGTAGGTACTCAAATAAATGAGGACTATTATTACTATCTGCTGTGGTATCACTCTTGCTGCATTTGTCCCTATATAGAGGGCTTCCATTCTGTGTGGTGACCACCACTGATGTCCATAGTTAGATAAGTATAAGTACTCTAACACTTACCTTAAACACCTCAGCAACCAGATGTTCATTGCCAGCAAAGACAGCAATTTCTATGATTGTCATTATCAGCATTTGGACTGGACTTATTTTTCCTAAGACAGCTCCAAAAGAAATCAGAACTGTGGCTGTACTGAAGTCTGCATTTATCATGCTGAGAGTAAAAGAAATAATACATTAAATAAAATGCAAACCCAAAATAAAACTGTGACTTGTAATAAATCATAGTCTCACTTTACACAGAGGGCAAGACCCTTATCACTGCCAGTCCCCATCGGTCACTTCTTCCAGGCTGTTTTTGTCCTCTCCCACTTTCTTACCCCTCCATTCATTATATGCTCTTTAGTTGCTCTAACATTTCCTAACAAACCTACCTGTTTGTTATCTTATTTGGGGTTTTAATTTATTTTTGTTGGTCTGATAAATGACATTTTCTAGAGTGCTCACATTTCAAAAATAATCTTAAAAAATGACTAATGATATATTTGTAGCTGAGATGGAAAGAATAATAATTTTATGCAAGGGGAGTTCTTATGCCCTTTACGTCAGGCCTGAATACCTGACACATAGATATTCAGGTATGATCCAGCTCAGCAGAGCAAGGTATTTTGCATCCTTGGATCCCAGAAATCTGCTATTGCTTAAAGGAGACAATTTGTCAGGTAGTTCAGCTTGCCAGCTTGTCTTGACTGACAAGAGATTAAAGAGAGAAACAATTGCTCCAAAAATAACAATGATTGAAAAGTGAGGGATCCCCACCTTTTGATTCCCACGTGAATTTTCTGTCCATGGCTGTGCAGGATCCCCTGTACAAGGGTGCCCCATTGGAGGCCCAGAGCAGCAATCAACAGGTTGATCCCCACACTGCTGAAGCCATATTTCTTCAGGAAGGTCATCAAGAAGCCAAACCCAACAAATATCATAACATGCACGTCTTGGAATACTGTAAAAGAGCAAAGGGGAAAAATCTCTGCATTTAGGGAGCACTAAGAGAGTGCTGTATCATAATATATCTCACTTATTAATGGATATAGCCTTTGCAAAGGACACTGCAAAGGGATAGCCTTGACTGGGCATCCAGAGGTTGCATTCCAATGCCAGCCAGGCTACTAACCTGCCACGAGACTGTGGGCAAGTTATTCAATATTTGAACTTTTGCTTGGAATACTATGTACTATCATACCAGCGTGTCTTTCATCCTCTCCCTGAAGAGTTGGCTTTTACTTTCCACTTGAGGAAATCTTTACAAAGCGCAGTTCAAACTTCACACCCTCTTATAGACTTTCCCAATATTTCAGGGAAAATTAATATTTCCTCTTGTCTTTCACACAGCTTTCTGTATATACCTTAGATTTAGCATCTGTCACATTGAATTGGCATTTATTTAGCATGCATCACATTGTAATAGTCTATGAGGCATCCTTCTTTTGTACTAGGTAGTGAGTTTCCTTATCGAAGAGATTAGGACATGTTCATCCATTGCTCAGCAGAATTAGGCATAAAAGCCTGCATATAATAAAAGAGGCAATAATGACTGAATGAATGAGCTATAGTCTCCATTAATCAAACGTGTACCAATAATACTACCAGTCCTAGAAATCTTACCAAATCGTTATTCAAGTCAAATGGGACAATGTCTTTGTTAGTAATTTCTAAACCAACATAAGGAAGGCTGTATTCTTTTGGGGAGCAAATACTTAACTTGGCATCTGGAGACATGAGCTCAGGTCCCCTTATTGTATCACATGATTGTATGACCTTGGGCCAGTCATTTATTTTCTGTGTGCTTCAGTGTTCTCATCTGCAATACTGAAAAATCCTATTTCACAGAGTGATTCTGAGTGGGATAACCCTCTGCAGGAGTGAGTACCAGTAATTCAGTGTATAAATAAAATGCATTACCAAATGGGAGATTGTGGAAATCACAAGCCATTCCCTCAAGAAACTTACAGCTTAGCTGGTGAGACATATATCTGACAGAACCATATGAAACTGATATTTTTGCATTGAAATTACCAATGAAAATGGTTCAAATATAGGCAATTTCTTAGCTCAACTTAATAGATACACAAAACAAATTGAGACAAAACTGGTAACAGGTATATTGATAAAACCAGAGATAAAAATATTAAAACATGTAAATGTTGAATTAATATTGACCACGGCAATGAGATGTTTAAGTGCAAATAGGCATGAGGGAGGACATGCCTAGAAGATATGTCTCAGAGGAAACTGATGTTAAAATCTAATTAATTTATCCAAAAGGTGGAGTCAAAATTTGAATTCAGGCCTGGTACCAGCAATTCCTCCATGAATTGAGCACTGTAGGGGTATAAGATAACCAAGGCGCAGCTTTGACCTCCCAGGTACTCAGAGACATGCCACTACCCCTTTGATCTCTCTACCTCTTTTCTACCATCTGGTTTAGGTGACAGAGAGTTTAGGGTGGGAACTGATGCCTCTCAGGTTTGTCTCCTTTGGGAGAGGCTCTTATGTACTGCCCAAACCCCTTCTCCTTTGGATCTGAAGGATTTATTCCTTTATTTTCTCTTGGCTATAGAGTGCTACTAGATGGCAGCGATAAGCTCTCAATTCTCTTGGGAAATGCTCTTGTCTTGTCAATGTCACAGCCATTCCCTAAGGTAGCCTCTGTCCAAGGACTGATTCACATGAGCATCCCCTCGCCCCAGGAAAGGACCACCTGCTGTTAGGTAATCCAAGCCTCAGAATTGTCTATGTGGTCAGCTGAAGTCATCTCTCTCTGCCCAAACCCTTCTGCTACCAGTGGGGACCCTCAAGGCATGCCCTAATAAAGTCTTTCAAGCTAATATCTGTCTTAGAATTTGTTTCTTGAGAAACCCAACCAGTAGTATCTTTCCTGTGGGTTTCACCCCACCCCCTGAAGAACTTTCCTGACTTTCTCCCTGACACAATTTGCATACCAGATCTCTTTAAAATTTTGCAAGTTAAACCCGATAAAAAAATATGTAGCATTGGTCACACTCAGACGTGGATGAAGAGCCTGGCTTTCCAAAGATTCCCAGCACTTGAAAATGGCCCCTTGGAAGCCTGGAACTTTAATGTTAAGTATTACTCTATGACAAATAACAGAATAGACGTCATAGATTAAGTCACCAGGGTCATTTGGTGGTCTTTCAGCCGGTGTAACATTTTTCTATGAGTGCAGCAAATGTAAATATAAAGAGAATGAGAAAACCAGGCCAATCTTTCATGACTCAGGCACACGCTAGAGGCATTCACTCTTTCTACCCAATCCATTCAGCACCTTTTAGCTACTCCATTGTTCCTTGAAGCCTTCTCCCTAGAGAGACAGTATGAGGACGGTGAGAAAGGAAACAACAGATTTCTGGAAATTGACCCTGGTCAGCAGCTTTGAGGGATGTTCCAGAGCAGAATGCTCTACAGTCAACTAACATCAACCTGTTTGTTTTTTTTATTTATAAGTGATCATATATGCTTATCTTTCTTTACAAGTTGTTTTTTCTACCATTTAATCTGTACATGTAAATATGTAATACACACAATGAATCATAAACTAAGAGTAGAATTTAGAGGATATGCATAACTTACTATCTAGCTATCGTTTTACTAAACCTTTCTTGGACAGTTTTTCCTTTTTAAAGGAAGGTTTGGATCACATGAAGTCCAAAGTCTCTTTCAGCTCCGCAATTTGTTTACAGCTACAGAAACAATAAAAATAAGGACCCAGTTCTACTGACTTCAATATTTTTTTAATTATATGATTTTTCTGAACATTCTTTTTTTGTTAGAGTACTTTTGTTTCTTTTGTAATCTACCAATTTTAAAGCAGTCAGCAACCCACTAATGCAAAAAACAAAAACAAAAACAAAAAAATCCCACAATGTTTTGTATAATTTTGTAATGGCTCACATTGATAGTAATAATTCTTCATATTCTGTCCCCATCCCCCTTTGAAGGAAAATGAGATCTTTTCTATGGAGGGAGGAATTTCCTGGATTAACTGTGCTCCAATGTTTCTTTCCCCTCTGATTTAATTCTTGTTAGTGCTTTCTGCTACTTAGGGGCTTAAGAACCTCATCTGTTATAAGTTGCTAAAGATTGTTTACAAAATTGTGAAAGCTCTTGACAGGTAATGGTTCTGTATAAAATATACGGATTAAAAGTTTATAAACAATGAGGATTGTGTACTATCTTTACTTCTGCTCTAAGAATGTGTGGATGGGGACTAGGGATAGGACCACAGGTTTAGTTTTGTGGTGCAAGACTTCCATTAAAGGAATAATCTTCTTTGTAGACAAAAAGTGGATTTCTTTAGTGGTTTGAAGTTTTGTGAAGTCTTTTGAGAGATTTTTAAGGACTGCCAAGATTTGTCTACATCAGATATTCTCAATAGGGGGCAATTTTAGCCTCCAGAATAAATTTGGCAATGTCTGATATTTCTGCTTTATTTTGCTTACATGTTTATTTTGCAATAGGATATCTTGCAAGCCTAGACACTATGACATCTTAAAATCAACTGATTATTCCAATTCACCTCTACCAGCACTGACAGCCAAGCAAACGGAAACAGAATACTTCTTTTCCTCTATTTCCTATGTTTGCCTGCTGCCTAGAATGTCCTCTCCAACCCTCCTCCAACCCTTCTTTACCTGGCCAACCAGATCCTCGTCTACACAGTGTTATCAGGCACAGCTGTGATATTGTGCATGTCCCTCTTATTTTATGTCATTTGTTTATATATTTATCTGTTTTGTTACTCCATGTGCTCACTTATCATTTATGTAAATAGGCCACTGAGCAAGCACTGCCAGTTTCAGAGTGGCTCACTCTTTCAGAAAAAAAGCGATGTAAGTCTGAGGGTCAAAATCATAAGGCGGCTTATCTATGAAAAAAAAGTCTCAGGAGAAAGTCTGGTATTTGCAATTGTAATTTAATATCCTAATTATTTATGAAAAACTAATAACTTTCACCAGACTATGACTGAGAACTGTTGTAACACACTGTGAGCTTCTTAGGCAGAGACTGAGCCTTCTCTAAGCTTGAATTCCTGCACTTGGCATAGTGAATGGTATAGGGAAGGCACCGCAAAAATCTGTAGACTTCAACATTGCCTTTTAATAAGTGAATATTTAATAATCTTCCTTCCAATGACTTATGCTATTTTATAGATTTTCTACAAATCAACTGTTTGAAATATAGGAAAAAATGTACATGTATAATCATAATCATGCACTTTCTAGGGTTACTCTACAAAATGTTTTAACCAGGGATAATAAAGCTGACCTGGAAGATTAGTATTAGCCACAATCTTAGGTCTTGAGAGCCACCTCCTGGAACAGAGATTTTAAAATTGTGTATAGACTGGGTTATGGACAGCATTTTGAATGAATGAAGACTGCCTTGCATGTGAAATTTCACTCTGTGTTCTGTTTAATGCCCTTCTGGGCTTGCAGGGACTTCTTTTGATTGAAGTCTCCTTCCCTTCCCCTACCCCCTATCCATGTCCTGGCCTGAATACCCTTATAGGTGGGGAAAAGGTCACAGTGACACAATGACAATAAATAGTCATTTATTGCTGCAGCATTTCATTGCCATCTAAATGTGAGTTTACGTGTGTGTACATAATTAAGTTAAATATAGTTATTTCTATAAATAAAAATATTAAGATGTATATACATACATGCTTGTATGTTTATAGTCTGTCTCCCTCACTGGAATGTAAACTTCATAAGGGCATGGATTTTGTCTGCTTTTTTCTGTTTTGTTTTATTCACTGCCTAGAGTCTAGGGCCCTGAAGATTGCTTTATAAGAATTGGAAGCTTAATAAATATTTTGTTAATTAATCATGAAATGAATGGATTTTTATTTTTACTTTTTTTTTGCAAGCAGAATATAAGGGTAATAGAATTGATATGCAATTAACAAAAATGACTATGTTTAGAAATTCTTCTCTCTGGCTTTTTCTTTCCCTCAAGTTCTGAATTGAAGTTTTACTTAGGAAATTTGAAGCTGGAACTTAGAGAGAGAATTCAGCTTGAATTATGCAAATTACAAAGCTCTTAAGATAATTTTATTTCAATAACACTCATCTTACATCACATTTTTGCATTTTATTTCTTATGTTGTGTTACAGTGTTTTATTTACATGTGGACCAGACAGTAGAATCTTCAAGAGATCATATTTGTTTTCTTTGAATAAGTTTGCTGTAGCACAAGCTTTGTATAGAACAAGAATACTTATTATATGAATAAATGAAATATACAAAAGCATATAGAGTTGAACAGCATTCTGTTCTGTTCGGTTTTTTCTAGCTTGAAAATTATAAAATTATTTAATTAAGAACCTTCTTGGACATCTAAGTAGTGTAAAGAGAACTAGACTTGGAGTCTGACTGTCTGACTTAATAGTTCTAATTCAACTTGCAGTCATGTATTTCGGCTGAGTCATTTAGCTCTAGATCCTATCTACATGCAAATACTCTCCACTTTACAAACTCCCTCAAAATATATAGGAGTAAGAAATGAATGTCAAATTGTTTTTTAACAGCTTACACATTTGTTATAAATATATAATAGGTATTGCTACCATTTTAAATAATTTTAACTTTTTAAAACTATTTGAGCCTCATATAAAAATAAACAATCTATATAACAGAAATATATTACCACCTCTCTCTATGGCTAATGAGGTAACAAACATGCCTGCTTCATCACAGGCAATCGGTGCATGTATGGTAGTTAGTAACTACTGTTATATTAACTATTTTATCGCTTGCTCTCCTAAACTTGAAATTAAAGTCCTTCTTTCCTCTGTCACAATTCCTAGGGAAGGATTTTACTTTTATAATATTAGCTGCTTAAAATTCTCATCGCAAAGGAATAAACTATCTTCCTTTCAGAATATTACAAAACCATGAGCACATTCTTTTTGATTAAAACTCTACTTATATCCTCTATCTCCCTAAATACTCCTTATTATCTTAGGACCCCCACATGAAAGCCTGGCTTCTCTTCTAAATATTACATTATGTTTCTACTCTCTTTCTACTCCAAAGTTAGGTTTGTACATTTGGTTGTTTGTTTGTTTTTTAATTGTAGGAAGTAATATTTTTATACCTTGGAGAACTAATGAATAATTCAAGGAAAAAAAATAACGTCATTTAGTAGCAGGTAGGCAACAAAAAAGATTAATCAATTATTTTAACTTTTGGCTTCTTGTTCTGATATCTTAATAAACACATATTCTATTCAAACACATTAATTATGGACATCAGATGCCATAGTATAAATTTATAATATCCTTATACTCATAACTAGCACATAATTCTATAAAAAGCTCCAATGTGAAGCTCCAGTAGTTATATTATTCAAAATTTCACATTCTGAGAACCTAAAGAACATAAAATATATAAGAAGTAGATTGCCTACTCACGAGGATATAACTCAATGAAACGGCCCGCATCTGTTGACTTGGTGCTGTTGGACTGCTGTTGAATGGTGTGATCCGTTTCGTACTGAACAAGTAATCCAAACAAAACAATCATGGCAACCTCCAGGCCAATGGCCATGAGAGGGAATGTGAACCTCATCTTTGTGGCAAGGCCAGAGGCGCACTGAGGGCTTCACAGGCTGTGGGAGGTTGATAAAAGCAGAGGGACTGCCCTGTATGTGGAATTAGACTGCATTTTAAAGACACGCCAATGATACTGCAAGAGAAAAAAATGGGCAAGACTGGTTAAAATGTCCTGCCCATTGGGGAGAATTTTGCTCTGTAATCAAATTGCCCTAAATGCCAGTTTGAAGTGCATTCAGGTTAGATGGGAAGAAGCCCGGGGAGGGAAATGATCTATTGTACAAAAGTGTCTTGAATCCTATTAACTTTAACAGACTTTTCTTTTTTAAATTTTAATTTTTAATTACAGTTTGTTTTCAATATTATTTTGTATTGGTTTCAGTTTTATAGCACAGAGGCTAGACAATCATATACTTTATAAAGTGTTCCCCCCAATATTTCCTGTACCCACCTGGCATACATAGTTATTGCAATATTATAGCCTATATTTCCTAGGCTTTACTTTACATCCCCATGACTATTTTGTAATTACCAATTTATACTTCTTAGTCCCTTCTCTTCTTTCACCCAGTCCCCCAACCACTCTATACTTTAGAAACCACCAGTCCGTGCTTTGTGTCTATGAGTGTGCTTAAATTTTGTTCATTTATTCTGCTCTTTAGATTCCACATAAAAATGAAATCAAATGGTATTTGTCTTTCTCTAACTGACTTATTTCACTGAGCATATTGCCCTCTAGGTCCATCTATGCTGTCACAAATTGTAAGACTTCACTTATTTTTATGACCAAGTAATATTCCATTGTACCACTTCTTCTTTATTCAGTCATCTCTTGATGGGCACTTAGGTTGCTTCCATATCTTGGCATTGTAAATAATACTACAGTGAACATAGTGCCACATATTCTTTCAAACTAGTGTTTTGGGTTTCTTTGGATATATTCCCAGACGTGGAATCACTGGGTTATAAGGCAGTTCCATTTTTAATTTTTTTGAGGAACCTCCATACTACTTTCTGCAGTGGCTGTACCAGTCTGCATTCTCACCAACAGTGCACAAGGGTTCCCTTTCCCCACCCCCTCATCTACCATCATTTCTTGATTGGTTGATGACAGTCATTCTGAGATGAGTGAGGTGGCCTTTCATTGTGGCTTTAATTTTCATTTCTCTGACAATTAGTGATGCCGGGCATCTTTTCATGTGTCTATTGGACATCTAGAGACACTTCTTGAGTGTTCCTTATGTGACTGGCACAGCTTGGCTCTATAGGCGACACAAAACTAAAGAAAGTATAGGATGTGTCTATTATTAACTTCATTAAGAAAGTTAATCTAGTTAGGAAGACAAAAATATAAGCCAATGATTGTATAAAACAGGTAAGCAATATAATAGTGGTTCTAGAAGTGTTAGGGAACAAAAATAAAGCAGCAATTTACTTTGTCTTGGGCCAGACACTAGCCTATGAAATGATATGGATGGGGCATTACTACAGGGAACAGACTGACAGATCTCAGAGGAGTAGACTAGCTAAAACAAGGTGAAGGGATTAGCCAAGGAACATATGTGCATAGCCCATGGACACAGAAAACAGTGTGGTAAAGGCCAGGGGAGGATGGGTGGGGGCTGGGTAGAGGTGGGAAAACAGGAGGAATATGGGGAATGTATGCAATAATGTCAACAATAAAAAATAAATATACAAAAATAAAATGGGCTTGCCTTGGCCAGGTAGCTCAGTTGGTTAGAGTGTTGTTCCTATATGTTGAGGTTGTGGGTTCAATTTCCAGTCAGAGCACATACAAGAAGCATAAATAAGTGGAACAAAAAGTCAATGTCTCTCTGTCTCTCAAATCAAGAAATACACTCTTTCAAAAATAGGCTTTACCAGTAAAATACATAGAGAGAACAGCATAAGGCTTAGTAGGACATGGCATGTTTGCAGAATAGCAATTATTTAAATAAAGTTGGATTATAGGAGAGATGAGGAGGAAAGCTTTGATCGTAGCCAGGCTGGCTTGTAAAAGGCCTTGTATTCAATATTACAGATGCTGAACATTGACTATTAGCCTACGGGCAATGGGGGAATTTAAAGGACTATGAGGAGTGGTTTTGCTTATTTGGGATAATATTTTTTTTCTTGAATCCTTACTCTGCTTTATACAAATGTAAATATAGGCACACACAAATACAGTTTTTAGTTTTAAAAAACAAGAGAGTGAATTTAATTGTGGACATGGCTAATCCTCTCTCTTCACAAATAGTCACGTGTAAATAAGATGTTAAATGATTCAAAAACGCTATTACGATTTTGCTTCCTTCCTGGAGTTGTCCCTATAGCAGAAGAGACCTATGTTTGAGAAATCATAGCTAGCAGTTAAATAACATTCATATCACTAAATTCCATTTTCAAAAGATTTTATTCAGAATGTAAATGAGGGAGAAAGCACAGATGACTGCTGGGCCAAATTCTACATCAAAACAAATGTTTATAAAAGAAAGAAGCAAGTTTGGTTTGTCTTGTTTTATTTTTCTAGTATATTTTTTCACAAGAGAACAAAAGACATTAGAACTAAATGATCTCTGATATTTTATAAATCTACAACTCAAATCTTTTGAAAATGGTTATTTCCATTGTTTCTTACAGGAAGGCCCAACAGAAGTGAGTTTCCATGCTAATTGTGGAAATACGCAAGGACAGTCCACACTTTGATATCTGCTCTTAGTGCTCCTGAGACTGCCAACAAATCATAAATACAAAGAATGTTAATAACTGTAAACTAAGCTTGTAAAAAAAAGTAATAAATTATACATTGAGAGAAGTTCTAAACTATCATAAATAAATATGGTTTATACTATTGAATATAATGATAAAGTGTTTTCTATATATTGGAGTATTAGACTTGTTGAGTAGTTCAGATTTTTTGCCCTTCTTTTGAGCATAACCTTCATATTGAAATAAGATGAGTCATGGATAATCTGGGAAAATAATGATTGCCTTCTTTTAACTCTTCACTCAAGCTGTTCTCTCTACATGGAGCAGTTTTTCCACACATTCTTTCCCCCGACCCCTGCTCCCCTCCCACATCATCTCTCCATTCTTGGATAAAAGGTGACTTCTTCAGCAAAGCCTTCCTTGACCTCCCATTTTAACCCAGCTTCTCACTGTTACCTCTCATTGAATAATGACCTTTTCTTTCATACTGCTTCCCATTGTTGGTTGCCTGTGTATATTTATGTGGTGTTTATTATTTATACGACATTTTAAAAATGGCTGTTTTCCTCATGGGCCTGTTGCTCCCTGAGGACAGAGGCTGTGTCTCCTTTGCATATTATTTAATTTTTTTTAATTTTTTAATTACGGTTGGCTATATTTCAGGTGAACAGTACAATGGTTAGACTTTTATATAACTTATGAAGTGAGACCCTGGTAAGTCTTGCACCCATACACAGTTATGATACCATACATAGTTATTACAATACTGCTGACTATATTCCTTACGCTGTACTTTACATCCTCATGACTATTCTGTGACTACCAATTCATACTTCTTAATCCCTTCACCATTTTAAGTCTCACATCATTTGTTTTCCAAAGTCAATACTGTGCCTAGCACACAGTGGAATACTGGTAAATATTATTTGAGTAAATTAAATTAAGGGCAGTGTTGAAGAGGGGAAAAAAGCTCAGAAAACAGTCCAAATTCTGTCATGAACTGAAATAGGGACAACCTTACTGTGACAAATTACATTTACATTATAAATATGTAGAATCCCAATAGTAACTTTAACATGGCTGTTCATTCATTATTTCAGTCAGTGAAGCTTGCCACCAGGATTTCTTGGGCTTGAGCAACACTGAGGATCAAGCTCAAATTATCAAGCTTGGAAGCAAAGATCTGGTGCAAACAGCGGCATGACCTTGAAAGTTCTAAGAGCCTTTAAAGGAACCTCTCTCCTGGCAGTTCTTAACCACAGAAGGAGCAGGCTGGAGAGCAGGGGAGTTCTAAAGTGCCTTCACAGACTTTCAGCATGTGAGGTAAATCTGAAGTTATCATGAATGACTAGGCCATGTTTTCATCCTACGCTGATCCTTAACTTGCTGTGTGGCTTTAGGAAAGTGACATAATTTCTTTATCTCTATTTCTGAATATATGTAAAGTTGGCTAATGGTCATTATCAGAAACTTTTATTGGCATTGCTTATTTTTGTTAGCAATGACTGATTGAAATATGGTTACTCTTTTTAAATTCTCTTTCTCAGAGGGAACCCTCATGCACTGATGGTAGGAATGCATATTGGAGCAGCCAGTATAGAAAACACTAAGGAGATTCCTAAAAATATTAAAAGTGAAACTGCCTTATGACCCAGTGAATCTACTCCTGGGAATATATCTGAAAAAATCCAGAACACTAATTTAAAGAAGTATGTGCACCCCTATGTTCACTGCAGTGTTATTTATAATAGCCAAGATATGGAATCAACTTAAGTGCCCATCAATAGATGATTGAATAAAGAAGAAGTGGTACAATGGAATATTATTTGGCCATAAAAATGAATGAAATCCTATCATTTGCAACAACATGGATGAACCTAGAGATTATTATGCTAAATGAATCTAAGTCAAACAGAGGAAGAAATTTACCATATGATTGCAGTTATATGTGGAATCTAAAGAACAAAATAAGTAACCAAACAAAACAGAAACAGACTCATAGATATAAAACACAAACTGAGGGTTGCCAGGTGGGAGGGGGTTAAGGGGCTGGAAGAAAAAGGTAAAGAGACTTAAGAAGTACAAATTGGTAGTTACAAAATAATCATGGGGATGCAAAATACAGCATAGGGTATATAGTTAATAATATTGTAATAACTACGTATGGTGCCAAGTGGGTACTAGAATTATTGGGTGTATCACATATATATATATATATGTGATACTATATAATATCTATAATTTACATATATAGATAATTATATACAATTTACATATATGTATATACACACATGCATATATAATATA